AAAAAAAAAAAAAAAAAAAAGAAGTTTGGAGTTGGGCACGGTGGCTCACGCCTGTTATCCCAGCACTTTGGGAGGCCAAGACAGGTGGATCACCTGAGGTCAGGAGTTCAAGACCAGCCTGGCCAACATGGCAAAACCCCGCCTATAATAAAAATACAAAAAAAATTAGCTGGGTGTGGTGGCAGGTGCCTAATAATCCCAGCTACTTGGGAGGCTGAGGCAGGACAACTGCTTGAACCCAGGAGGTAGAGGCTGTAGTAAGTTGAGATTGCACCATTGCTCTCCAGCCTGAGTGGCAAGAGTGAAATTCCGTCTCAAAAAAAAAAAAAAAAGTTTGGGAAAGAGCCTACAAAAGTTCCCATTTCTAACTGTCTTGAAAAATCTCATCTGGAATCACTGGGCCACATTCCCTCACAGCAACAGCTGGCTGACACTAAGCTGTGGCAGCCTCCCTTTAGATGAGACAAGCACCGGCCCCACCCCTTCAAGAAGTGCTTGCTTTTCTCCCTTTCAGTCGTCATTGCCTGTCCCCTCCAAGGCCCCAGGGTTTCTGACCTCTGCCCCGACATTTCACATACCTTTTTCACCATCGTTGTCTCAGAAGAATCAAGTTTTGCTCTCTTGGTATCAGGCCCATCTTCTACTCCTTGGCTAACTTTGGCAACTTTGGTTTTCTCCCTAGAGGGTGACAAGGGGAGGGAATGTTTTACCCTAGGAATCATGTCACTAGAATCAAAAAAAGGCTCTCCAGGTCACAGAACAGGATGGTGGTTAAGCGCAAAAGCTTTGGGGTCAGATCGGTTCAAATCCTAGCTCTGCCATTGATAACCTGATGAATTACACTGTTGGGCACTCAGGAAATGCCCGTGGGAAAAACAGAGCAGCTTAAGTTGCTCAGCACACTCCCAGGCACACAGCCGCTCTCAATAAACCAAAGTGATTACTCTGTAAACACTCTACTTAAATCATGAAATAAACAGCCAAACTTGGCCCAGTGTGGTGGCTCACGCCTGCAATCCCAGCACTTTGGGAGGCCAAGGCGGGTAGATTGCCTGAGGTCAGGAGTTCAAGACCAGCCTGACCAACATGGTGAAACCTCATCTCTACTAAAAATACAAAAAATTAGCCAGGCGTGGTGGCACATGCCTGTAATCCCAGCTACTCAGGAGACTATGACAGGAGGTGGAGGCTGCAGTGCTGAGATCACATCACTACATTCCAGCCTGGGCAACTTCGTGCAACACTGTCTCAGGGCGGGGGGGGGGGGGGGGAAGCCAAACTTAATTCTGCCCCTCTGCTGTGGGCAACTTATGTTAAAATAATCTGGATTGCTTTCCACCACTATGACTTCTTTATAATAGGCCCAAAGAAGTCCAACTCTACCAAAAATCAGAAATGAGCTGGGCGTGATGGCGGGTGCCTGTAGTCCCAGCTACTCAGGAGGCTGAGGCAGGAGAATCACTTGAATCTGGGAGGAGGTAGAGGTTGCAGTAAGCCAAGATCATGCCACTGCATTCCAGCCTGAGTGACAAAACTCCATCTCAAAAAAAGTACTATACCCAAAGAACTAGATTATCCTAAAGTCATAAAACACCAGAGTTAGGGGATATCTGGAACATTACTATCCTTTCACCATCTTGATTTTATAGGCAAGAAACCTGGAGACCAGAGAAATTTCAGTGACTTGCCTGAGAGGCTGAACAAGAGTAGTTCTCAGTCTCTTGGTAGGAAGCTCCTACCTCACAGACCCTCTTTCCCTCTCAATAAAGTTGGAGGTTTTTGGAGGGGGTGGTCAGAAACTGCAGCCAAAATATCTAACTCTTATAGTTTTACAGTATCGTATATCTGCCATCTTTCATCCAGAGACTATAAGGTCAAAACACTGCAGGTCCTCTCATGTGAGAATTAACAAGTTCTGCAGCCTCAGTGTTCAAAATGAGAGGATGAAGTCTTCCTTCTACCAGAAGAGTCTCTCTGCACATTGGAAACCTTTTCCAAGGTAGACTTTGGCTGAATGTGCCTCTAGAGTCAGCCAACTAACTATTTTGTACTCATTTTACTATATCTCAACTTAAAAGCACATAAGCCCAAGCTGGGGAACAAATGTTTACAATTAGAGCAAGCCTTCCCTATGTAGAAAATGTGACTTCACCACCTGAAGCACAGACTGATCAAACAAATACCCATGTGGTGTACTTTCATTGCTGTAAAACTCTGCTTGCTTTAGGCTTCAGATTTAGGCCATCATTTTGGAGAGCAGAGCCATATCTCCTAAAATTCTGAACGCACAATCTATTGTATTCGGTAAGTTGTTAATGACTTGGTTTCAGAATGGTCTAAGTATTATAATCAGATTTTTTCCTTAGATGTTTTGTTTCTCTTTTTTTGAGAGAGTCTCACTCTGTTGCCAGGCAGGAGTGCAGTGGTGTGATCTCAGCTCACTGCAACCTCCATCTCCCAAGTTCAAGTGATTCTCCTGCCTCAGCCTCCTGAGCAGCTGGGATTACAGGCGTGCACCACAATACCCAGGTAAATTTTAGTATTTTTAGTAGAAAACGGCATTTCACCACGTTGGCCTGGATGGTCTTGATCTCTTTTTTTTTTTTTTTTTTTTTTTGAGACGGAGTTTCACTCTTGTTACCCAGGCTGGAGTGCAATGGCGCGATCTCGGCTCACCGCAACCTCCGCCTCCCGGGTTCAGGCAATTCTCCTGCCTCAGCCTCCTGAGTAGCTGGGATTACAGGCACGCGCCACCATGCCCAGCTAATTTTTAGTAGTTTTAGTAGAGACGGGGTTTCACCATATTGACCAGGATGGTCTTGATCTCTTGACCTCGTGATCCACCCGCCTCGGCCTCCCAAAGTGCTGGGATTACAAGCGTGAGCCACCGAGCCCGGCCGGTCTTGATCTCTTGACCTCGTTATCTGCTCGTGGGGCGGGGGGGGGTGGGGGCGCAAAGCCCTAGGACCGCAGGCGTGAGCTACCACACCCAGCCTAATGGTTGTTTTCTTTTCTTTTTCTTTTTTTGAGACGGAGTCTCCCTCTGTTGCCCAGGCTGGAGTGCAGTGGTGCAATCTCAGCTCACTGCAACCTCCACCGCCCGGGTTCAAGCGATTCTCCCTGCCTCAGCCTCCCAAGTAGCTGGGATTACAGGCTCCCACCACCACACCCAGATAATTTTTTGTATTTTCAGTAGAGACAGGGTTTCGCTATGTTGGCCAGGCTGGTCTGGAACTGCTAACCTTGGGTGATCCACCCACCTCGGCCTCCCAAAGTGCATAATTTTTAAAAAAAGAAAGTATAAAAAAGAAAAAATGTAACGTTCTCCCCTTCTCTCCCAACACTTACTCCACAAACTCATGCTCTCCTAGATTGGCAAATGTGTATCCATGGTAGCCAAAAACATCTCCTGTAAAGAACTTGATGCTATTTTTGTGACAGATCTGGTCAACTTTAACTATGACATCCCTGGAACAGCAAGTCAGGCACACCTGCAGAAAGAAAGAAATTGGCTGGGTGTGAGTTTTGCAAACTGTGAATCACCACCCTGATGTCTAAATAAATCTTAATGAACAGTCACTCTGGGCATGTTTCAAACTGGTACAACAGGTTCTTTCGGTCCTATGGTTAGAAGACAAAAGAAAAGTTGCAGGTTTCGGTGTGTGGAAAATATAAGTTATGAGGCCGTCATGTTCTGCAGCCAAAATAAAATATGTTCAGCTAAAAAGTAAGAGCCATTCCAATGAATGTTTTCTGTAATCCATGAACATATATACATCTCAGAGTTTTCATGAAAAGAAAATAATAACTTAGCAAGTTGTTTCTAAACTGTTAAATCTATTAAAATCCAAATAAGCTACAATGAGAAGCAAAACCAGTTTTTTAAATTGACTCAAAGGTCATGTTTAAATACAAGGGCTTTTTTTCCCCTCCTTCTGATTGATATGTTAAGATAAAGAAGATAAACAAATCCTGTTGAGATCATTTTTCCACAGATTGCAGTGTGAAATTTTATCTGAATTTAAGGACAAAAGAAAAGGTTATAGACCAAGTGACCTTCCATTCAGACTTAGACAATGAACTGGTGATTCACTCAGTGGAATTATCAGTGTTGCTCTGGGGTCTGTAGGTTTATTCCAGTAAGTTGAGGTATTGGAAATGGCTAAGTTCTCCTGCACAAAATACCATCTTTTCGGGAGAAGCTTTGTGATCATGGTCAAAAGACAACTTCCAAATTGCACATGCTTTCTCCTGAACAAAAGGACATTTTCACTTGACAGACCCTCTTTGCTGTTGTCTGGCAGCCTGAATACCGAAATAACACTCACAGAGACATGTGTTCCTTTGGTGTTTCAAAGAATGCAACCACCCAAGGAAAAATCCCATCTAAAAGGTAAGAAATCCACAGGTGAACATGCAATCAATTGATCAAATGGAATCCTGCAGAGTCTAAAGTGACTGTAAAACCTGCAAGGACCAGCCAAACATGGCCCACAAGGCAGTCAACATGGCCCCACACACCCGTATGACAGAATCAACTGGCCTCACACTTCAGTTTTAACAAACCCTCTTTCTAATTCTACAAGTTCAAGGGACACCTGGAAAAAAATAAATGTGGTTAGTACAGATAAGAAAAAGAGGACTTATGCTGATGGCATGGCTCAGGAAAAAAAAAAAAAAAGGTAGTAAGAAAATGAAGAATTGGCTGGGCTCAGTGGGTCACATCTGTAATCCCAGTACTTTGGGAGGCCGAGGCAGGCAGATCACCTGAGGACAGGAGCTTGAGATCAGCCTGGCCAACATGGTGAAACCCCATCTCTTTCTTTATTTAGACAGAGTTTCACTCTTGTTACTCAGGCTGGAGTGCAATGGCGCGATCTCGGCTCACCGCAACCTCCGCCTCCTGTGTTCAAGCAATTCTCTTGCCTCAGTCTCCTGAGTAGCTGGGACTACAGGCATGCACCACCATGCCCAACTAATTTTTTGTATTTTTAGTAGAGACGGGGTTTTACCATGTTGACCAGGATGGTCTTGATCTCTTGACCTCGTGATCCACCCGCCTCAGCCTCCCAAAGTGCTGGGATTATAGGCGTGAGCCACCATGCCCGGCCCAAAACCCCATCCCTTTAAAAAAAAGAAAAGAAAGAAAATGACTTATGTCCAAATGGAAAGTGTCCCAATATCTGAAGTTAAAAAATAGAAGGGACTAGGGAAAAGAAAACAGGACAGATTCACAGATGATCCATCCTTCCAAGCCCGTATTCGAAGAGATGCACAGATGAAATAGAAAAATGTAAAAAACAGGCTGGGCGTGGTGGCTCACACTTGTAATCCCAACATTTTGGGAGGCTAAGGTGGGTGGACTGCCTGAGGTCAAGAGTTCAAGACCAGCCTGACCAACATGGTGAAACCCCCATCTCTACTAAAAATACAAAAAATTAGCCAGGGATGGTGGCAGGCGCCTGTAATCCCAGCTACTTGGGAGGCTGAGGCAAGAGAAACGCTTGAAGCCAGGAGGTGGAGGTTGCAATGAGCTGAGGTCATGCCATTGCACTCCAGCCTGGGCAACAAGAGCAAAACGCCTTCTCAAAAAAAAATAAAGCGTAAAAAACAAACTACCCAATCCAAATTCTAACCTCTAACATAATGTAATGGGGCCTTTCATTTAAAAAACTAGCAGCTTATCAGTGACTATTTCACAGTTATCAAGATTTGTTAAGCTTTTCCAGAATACAGGGAACTATGTCTGAAAGGTCACAGACACTGACAATGAATTTATCCTTCCACCTCCGCATAGATTTGGCAGTGAAACCAAATGAGGTTGGATATGCCTCATTTGGCTTATGACTACAGTGATTTTTTTCTCTAGTTATCCATGGCAACATGGTCAATGTGACTGTGAGAAACAGACAGACAGACAGACATAGACCAAGATCAGGTGTGCTTTTTGTTAACACAAAACACAGGCTGTAGTTTGATATTTCTAACAAAAAAAAATCCTCTGCCATAGAAATCAATCACCAACTTGTTGTCAGAAGAAAACATTTGCAATAACATGGATTAAAGTTATGTGCAAAGATTCTGGAAGGAAGATAAAACACCAAATATGAAACCTGGCCTAGGGGAACATATGCCCAGAGAAGAAGCCAGCAGACAGCAAGTCACCAACAGTTACAGCAGATCCAACAGACTGGACCTCTCTAGCAACATATTCATACAATATACTAAGCTGAAACAACAGAACAGCTTACAAATTTTCTTGGGAAAAAGCTCAGAATTTGTTATTTGAATGTGCTCAGACTGCTTTAAGATTCGAAAGCATACATACAACTAGTACCTTAATTTGTTTAATTCCTATGCAGATCTTATATTAAGAAACTTACAGCATCAAATTGAGTGAAAAATGACTCTGGTTTCCTCTCTATATCCTCAGTGTCCACCTTCACATCCACCATGGGGTTAAGATTCTGAGCTCGCTCCAAAGAGGCTTCAGCCCTATTTCGGCCAACAGACCCAGTACGAATCAAGAACTGAGCTCCAGGATCTTCTGGAGATACCTAGAAATAATAGATGTATTTTTTTAATTCTTGAGTTTTTAGGGAAAATAAATCTCAAAGACAATCTTTAAATTTTAACCGACAGCTAAAATACCTACCACCTAAATTGTATTATTGTTCCTGTAGCAATTTGCCTTATGTGGGCTTCCTTCTAAGGCTTTAAAACCACTTTAAACTTTTTTAACTGGTCATTGATGGTTAAAGAGCACCCCCTTGTGTTTATAAAGAAAATTCACTCTCAACAGAAAAATGCATGCCTTTTCCTTCCATACAAATTTATAACTGCTAACAAATGACTGATTGCCAGTGTTAAGAATTGACTAAATTACGTAGCATGTGCCGAGCTATAAGCATTCAGGGAAATACACAAGCAGTTTAAAGGATTACGTCTCTGTCTTTCAGTGGTTTAAGAGTAGACCACACTGGCACAATAGCTCACATCTGTAATCTCTGTCTCCAGTGGTTTAAAAATCTCTGTCTTCCAGTGGTTTAAAAGTAGGCCTTCCAGAAGGGGGAAAAAAAAGAAAAACAAAAAAAAAAGAAGAGAACAAATAAATAAAAAATAAATATATTTTTTTAAAAAGTAGACCTTCCTGGCACAGTAGCTTACATCTCTAATCCCAGCAATATGGGATGCCAAAGCAGGAGGACCACTGCTTGAGGCCAGAAGCTCAAGACTAGCCTGGGCAATATACTGAGGCCCTCTCTCAAGAAAACAACAGAAAATTGCAACCTCATGAGAAAACTTAAAAAAACAAAAATTTATACATATATATATATATGTGTATATATACACACACATAAAATCAGTGCAAAAATCAGACACGAGGAGGAGGCTGGGCGCGGTGGCTCACGCCTGTAATCCCAGCACTTTGGGAGGCCGAGGCGGGTGGATCACGAGGTCAAGAGATCGAGACAATCCTGGTCAACATGGTGAAACCCCGTTTCTATTAAAAATACAAAAAACATTAGCTGGGCATGGTGGCGCGTGCCTGTAATCCCAGCTACTCGGGAGGCTGAGGCAGAAGAATTGCCTGAACCCAGGAGGCAGAGGTGGCAGTGAGCCGAGATCGCGCCATTGTACTCCAGCCTGGGTAACAAGAGCAAAACTCCGTCTCAAAAAAAAAAAAAAAAAAAAAATCAGACACGAGAATGCTTGAAATAACCTTTTTTTTTTTTTTGAGACGGAGTCTCCCTCTGTTGCCCAGGCTAAAGTGCAGTGGTACAATCTCGGCTCACTGCAACCTCTGCCTCAGCCTCCCAAGTAGCTGGGATTACTGGTACCCACCACCAGGCATGGCTCATTTTTGTATTTTTAGTAGAAACGCGGTTTCACCACCTTGGCCAGGCTGGTATTGAACTCCCGATCTCGTGATCCACCTGCTTTGGCCTCCCAAAGCGCTGGGATTACAAGTGTGTACCGAGCTGAAACGAACTTTTTGTTAATGCAGACAGACTACGGCCAGGCATGGTGGCTCACACCTGCAGTCCCAGCACTTTGGGAAGCCAAGGCGGGCAGATCACCTGAGGTCAGGAGTTCAAGTCCAGTCTGACCAACATGGAGAAACCCTGTCTCTACTAAAAATACAAATTAGCCATGGTTGCTGGTGCATGCCTGTATTCTCACCTAGTGGGGAGGCTAAGGCAGAAGAATCACTTGAACCCAGGAGGCAAAGGGTGTGATGAGCCGAGATTGCACCACTGCACTCCAGCCTGGGCAACAAGAGCAAAACTTTGTCTCCTTTTTCTTTTCTTTTTTTTTTTTTTTTGGAAATGGAGTTTCGCTCTTGTTACCCAGGCTGGAGTGCAATGGCGCGATCTCGGCTCACTGCAACCTCCGCCTCCTGGGTTCAGGCAATTCTCCTGCCTCAGCCTCCTGAGTAGCTGGGATTACAGACACGCACCACCATGCCCAGCTAATTTTTTGTAGTTTTAGTAGAGACGGGGTTTCACCATGTTGACCAGGATGGTCTCGATCTCTTGACCTCGTGATCCACCCACCTCGGCCTCCCAAAGTGCTGGGATTACAGGCTTGAGCCACTGCGCCCGGCTGCAAAACTCTGTCTCAAAAAAAAAAAAAGAAAAAAAAAAAAAAAAACCAACATATAAACAGACTATGTCACCCAGGCTGGAGTGCGGTATTTATTCACAGGCACGATCATTGCACACTGCAATAGCAAACTCCTGAGCTCATCTTCCCACCTCAGCTTCCCAATTAGCTGGGCTACAGGCGTGAGCCACTACATCCAGTTTCTGAATAAACTCTTAAATTCGATTAAAACTCAGAGAGGAGGACAGGCACGCAGGCTCACTCCTGTAATCCCAGCACTTTGGGAGGCTGAGGCAGGTGGATCACGAGGTGAGGAGATTGAGACCATCCTGGCCAACATGGTGAGACACCATCTCTACTAAAAGTACAAAAATTCCATGGGCGTGGTGGCACATGTCTGTAATCCCAGCTACTCAGGAGGCTGAGGCAGGAGAATCAGTTGACCCGGAAGGCAAAGGCTGCAGTGAGCCAAGATCACAGCACTGCACTCCAGCCTGGCGACAGAGTAAAACCCCATCTCAAAACAAAACAAAACGCAGAGAGGAGGAGAGATGAGTGGGGACTGGACAGATAAATTATTTCACCCCTAAGGCTGAACATCAGCAGAGCAGAGCCTGAAAGATAGGATAATATAATCCCCTAACAGCCACCAGTAGGATTACAGATACCATACTGCTCTCAAAGCATTTCTTCACACATCAAACATCTAATTTAACCATTCCAGCCTGGGACAAGTGAGACTCCATCTCAAAATACAAAACAAACAACAACGATAAAAAAACATACAATTGAGCCCAGAAAGTTCAAGGCCAGCCTGAGCAACACCACGAAACCCAGTCTCTACAAAAAAATACAAAAAATTAAGCCGGGCGCGGTGGCTCAAGCCTGTAATCCCAGCACTTTGGGAAGCCGAGGCGGGTGGATCACAAGGTCAAGAGATCAAGACCATCCTGGTCAACATGGTGAAACCCCGTCTCTACTAAAACTACAAAAAATTAGCTGGGCATGGTGGCACGTGCCTGTAGTCCCAGCTACTCAGGAGGCTGAGGCAGGAGAATTGCCTGAACCCAGG